CAAGGTTCTGAGTTTCATCCCCGGTACTGCATACTGTGCCAGCCCTGAAACCAGGTGTGGTGGCATATGCCTGTAATTCCAGTGCTGGGAAGGCTGAGACAGGCCAATCACTGCGTGTCTCAACTCTGTAGCAAGACCCTGCACAAACAAAACAACAACAGCAACAAAAAATTAAAATTTTAAAGGGCAGGGAAGATGGCTCAGTAGAAGGGTCTGAGTTCAATCCCTGGTTCCGCAAAAAAGAAAAAGAAAAAAGAAATTATAGAGGCAAGGTCTTGCTCTGGCCTTGAGTGGCCATTTTGCTGCCTCTGTATCCTAAGGCAGCTAAGGATGTGGGCATAGAGCACCCCAAGTACAATGAGTCTTACTTAGATTCTTGCCAGTTTCACCAGTGTCTTTCATGGCAAAAATGAAAAACCATCACCACCCTGACACCGTATCTTTTACTGTCACATAGCACCTTCCTGCATGGGTCTCCCCAAGTCTTAGGTCTCCTTTGATTGATTAGGAAACTTGTGGTCAGTTTCCTTGGGTGGCCAGGTATTCCTTCAGGAGTGGATTTGGTCAGGGGCTGGGCGGGCCTGCCTCAGAGCTCACGTGTCCCTCTCTGTGCTCAGGAGGCTTGGGCTAAGTTTTGCTGAGGCACATCATGGCTGGGGTAGGGATGGTGCTCTGGGGGAGGCGTGCTGCCCGTCTTACTGCGTGCAGGAGAGCGGGAAGTGGCTCAGACTGTGGATTTCATTCTTACTGCAGATCTGGGCTTCAAGGACCTCACGCTGCAGCCACGGGGTCCCCTGGAGCCGTCCCCTCCCAAGCCCGGCGTGCCCCAGGACCTTGGAGGGGCAAAGCCCAATGGAGTGCCTGAGCCCCCACCGGTAAGCACTGTGTGTGCACCCAGCCTGGCTCCCGAGTGTGCCCCCTCCCCTGCCTGCTTATGGCTCCTGTGCTGCAGGTGGGCTGGCAGTGCCCCGGGTGCACATTCATCAACAAGCCCACCCGCCCCGGCTGCGAGATGTGCTGCTGTTCACGGCCTGAAGCCTACCAGGTGCCTGCCTCGTACCAGCCTGACGAGGAGGAGCGTGCCCGCCTGGCTGGTGAAGAGGAGGCACTACGTCAGTACCAGCAGGTGGGTGCAGGTCTGGGACACTGGGGACACACCTGTAGACAGGACGGGGCCAGGAGGTGGCCCCGCGGGAGAGCCATCTGTATACTGTTAACCTCACTCCTTGCTGCCTTGCCCCATGGCCAACTATGGCCTTGCATCTGTTGTGGGCTGTGATCTCAACACTTCCTGTGACCTTGACTGTATCTCTGCTTGTGACCTCACTTCTGCCCACCTTTCACCTCACTGCTGGCTGCCAAACTATGGCCTCACCTTGAATCCCACTGTACCTAAACCCCAGCCTCCCACACTCACCTTCCTGTCACTGCCCCCTCCCATGGTGACATAGCCCTGGTCACGGTACCCAACACTGGCCCCAAGCATCACCTCCTCTCACAACACCCTCTCTTGCTTCCCTGGGACGCAGAGCAGCCCGTCTGGGTCCCTCCACATCCTTGCTGTGCACTTGGCTACGCCCTTAACCTTGGCCAGGCCCCACTTTGTGCCCTCCTGCCTGCCTGCCTGCTTCTCAGCAGGGATGTGAGCCCTGCAGTTCCTGCTTCCTACATGGGCCCTGTTGCTTAGAGCTCCCCACTCACCTCCCTACCACCACAGCCTATCACCTGGCTCCTGCGCCCCTGACCCCAACCACCCACCACCCTGAGGGCTGGGCTCCCTCCTGCCCTCACCCCAGACCCTGACATGCTGGTGGCCCCCGCCTGTGCCCAGCGGAAGCAGCAGCAGCAGGAGGGGAACTACCTGCAGCACGTGCAGCTGGAGCAGAGGAGCCTGGTGCTGAATGCCGAGCCCGCCGAGTGCCCTGTGTGCTACGCGGTGCTGGCACCTGGCGAGGCGGTGGTCCTGCGGGAGTGTCTGCACACCTTCTGCAGGTGCGGCCCCACCCTATATGCAGGGCCACAGAAGCCTCAGGCAGCTGTCTCCCTATCTGCTGATGAGGAAAGGGATTCACAGGACAAAGGCACCTGGCTCACAAGAGGTCTAGGCTGCTTCCACCCTTGTGCTCTGCTCTTTGGTGGATGGGAGGGCACTGGGGTCCTGGCCTTGCAGCCTGCTCCAAGCCCACCCTGCAGGGGGACAGTCTCATCCCTTAGCCCCCAGTCTCTTGTGGCCTTTCTGCTCTGGGCTGGGAAGATGTGTTCATTCACTATGCTGACACTGCAGCCAGCCAGCCAGCTGTTCATAGCTAACCACTGGCAGATCCTGTACTTTTTGTGAATTGCTGAGAGACAGTGGCATCCAGTGTCCCAGAGCAGGCTGCACTGGAGCAGAGGCCAACAGGTCTGGCCTGTTCAGAGAGACCAAGGAGGTTCCTTGGGGGTAGGGTGGGTTTGTCTCAGGCTTGTGAGCAGCATTGAGGGTTTTGGCTTGCTCTGGGTGGGGCGGGAGGCCCTAGGGAGGGAAGTGGCTGAGTGCAGAGTGTGCTCTAGGGCCTGGTGGGGGCAGGAGCGTGGTAGAAGGCCCTGGGCCTGGGCCAGAGCAGCAGGGGACAGAAGGGCTGGCAGAGGTGGATCCCTGAGTGACAGTTGTGTGTGTGTGTGTGTATGTCCAGCCAGCCAGGACCCTGGGGGTGGGGGCGTGGGCTGACCCTGTCCTCCCCTCCCCAGGGAGTGTCTGCAGGGCACGATCCGCAATAGCCAGGAGGCGGAGGTCTCCTGTCCCTTCATTGATGACACCTACTCATGCCCGGGCAAGCTGCTGGAGAGGGAGATCCGGGCGGTAAGGAGAGGCGGTGGCTGCTTGAGCTTGGGGCGCCAGTGCCTGGCCAGAGCCTCCTGGTGTGGATGCTGGACCCAGCAGCCAGGGCTTGGGGGAGTGGCCGAAACTTACTGGGTGCTCTAACTGCTTCCTGATGGAAAGAGCAGAGTGGGTGAGAGTGCAGGCGCTGGGTGTGGCTGCACTCTTCACCCTCCGTTCAGGCAGTCGTCTCCCTCAGGCCACAGTTCCTGTTCTGCCTCAGGGGCCAAGAAGATTAGGAGAGGCTGTGTGTGAAGATGGTAGTGTAGCTGGACACAAGGAAGGCCTTCTTGTCAGTTAGCTTTTGCCCAGTAACAAATTACATCATGGCTTGAAACCACTCCGCCCAGGGATCTGGAAGGCAGTAATTCTGTCTGTGCTTGCTGGCGACTTGAGCAAGCTCTCGGGCTTCTCCAAGCCTCCTTTTCCCCACTTGTTACTTGGGTTGGTGGGGTAGAGTCTCAGGTCAGCTCCTGGGAAATGGCTTTCCTGGAATTGGTGCTGTGGGTGACCAGGCCAGAACATGGAGATGGGAGGCCACAGCAGACACAGCCCCATTTCTTCCTGTCACTCCAGCCTCTCTCCAGGGACACTGCATAGAAGGGCGAGAGCAGCCCATGGGGTTTTCATCTGGCTGTGGGCTTTGGAGCAGGGCAGCTCTGGGCAGCCAGGCCCAACACTGCGTGATGCCACCAGTGCCAAGGCGCAGGTGGCCCAGGAAGCCCACCCCACCTGAGACCTTGTGACAAGCAGAGTGCAGATTGAGGCTCAGCCTCCCAGAAAGGGCAAGTGGCAGTAGAAAGAGCCGCATACGGGCCAGCAGAGCAGGGTGTGGAGGTGGTTTTTCTAAAAATAATAATGGTAACGAACATGCCACAACTACATAGAAATAGCCCAGAAATGAAAGAGAAACTTGCTACAATCTTGTCCTCCCTAGCTGGGTGCAGCTTGTCCTGTTTTCTAAAGTGTTTTGGGGCAGATGTGATATTGTTGAAAGGTTGCCTTTGTTGACATACACTTTGCACACGGTAGAATGTGCCACGTAAGCATGCTGTTGGATGAGTTTTGTCAGATGAACTTGTGGCACCACCACACTATCAGGATCAGAACAGAGGCGTGACTTTTACCTCCCTGGAGCCTGCGTGGCCACACCAGCTTTTGTTGGTTCACTACAGAATTGTTATAAAAACCATTTTATAACTGTGGCATTATAACCTGTGTATGCCTCTTCTCTTAGCAAGTCTGGTGTCTCAGCTGGTCAGTGCCGCTTCCTGGAATGTTGTGCTGGTGCTTCTTATGTTCCTGCAACTTCCCAGGATAAACTTGCAGAGGTGGGGTGGGAACCAAGGCTCTGAAGAGTTTGGAATGGTGGGAATGGGCTTTGCCATGCTGCTTTCTTAGCATTGCAGTATTTTATTTTTTGTCCATTTTTATTATTGTAAAATACATGTTGCCTTTTTTTTTCCAGAACCAGGGATTGAACTCAGACCCTTGTGCTTGCCAGGGTAGCGCTTATTCCACTGAGCCACCTCCCTTGCCCCCTCCAGTAACCTTTAATCACACTTTTATGACACTGAATACATCCTCATTGTTATGTAGCCGTGACTGATGGCCTTCCGCAGAGCTCTTTGTAGTCCCCTTTTGCGCGTTGTTTAAACACTAGCAGGGTCTGAGCAGAGAGCGTGGACTGACTGGACTCAGGGCTGGGGGCTGTTGGGGACCGGGTGCTGATACAGGCAGAGGGCTGTTCTGCTGTCTCTGCACCCTGAGCAACAAGGATCTGGGCTGTCGGCAGCTCCTGTCCCCTGAGGATTACCAGCGCTTCTTGGACCTGAGCGTTTCCATCGCAGAAAACCGCAGTGCTTTCAGCTACCACTGCAAGACCCCAGACTGCAAGGGCTGGTGCTTCTTTGAGGATGATGTCAATGAGTTCACCTGCCCTGTGTGTTTCCACGTCAACTGCCTCCTCTGCAAGGTAGAGTGAAGGTCCCGCGTGGCCTGGGCTCCTTGTTGTACAAGGTCCTCAGTGCCTTGCTTTTGAGACAGGGTCTTACTATGTAGTTTAGGCTGGCCTTGAACCCAGTATGTAGCCTAGGCTGGCCTTGAATTTGAAGTGATCTTCCTGCCTCAGCCTCTGAAGTGTTGGGATTATGGGAGTGTGCCATTGGCCCCGGCGTGGCCCTCAGTATTTGTTCCTTGAGAAGGGAGCTGTAGTGTGGGTCTGAGGGTCTGATTTAGAGGCACATACCAGTGGGCATAATCGTATAGTGACCCTAAACCCAGCTCCAAACTGAGTCTGTCTGGCCCAGTCACAGAGTGAATTTTGGTTTTATACTGAACCCTGATGACATCTAAATGTCATCATTTAAGCTGGCCTCACACCCATGCCAGATCCTGAACTGAGCCCAGGCTTTGTACAGAGCCCTGAGCGTGGATCCTGAACCAAGCCCCTGTCCTGGCCTCAATTGTGACTCCAAATCCGGATTGAGCCTGGCCTTGCCCAAATGACCTTGGAGTTTCCTGTGCAGGTGTGGGGTGGGCGGACAGCGTGGAGGTGGAGGAGAGAAGCCACAGTCTGTGGAGAGGGATCTGGGGCTTAAACAAGCAGCGAAGCAGATATCATGGGATGACTTAGCTTCACCTCCCTGGCCTCTGCCCAGGTCCTCTATACCCAGAGGCTTTGAACCCCTGAGCTGATGGCTGCGCCGCCTCCTCCCCAAACTTCTTAGGCCTCTGGGGAACACTGTCTTCCTGCAGGCCATCCACGAGCGCATGAACTGCAAGGAGTATCAGGACGACCTGGCACTGCGGGCTCAGAACGACTTGGCTGCCCGGCAGACCACAGAGATGCTACAGGTGAGGCAGGGTCAGGCCCGGGGCTTGAGGCAGAGGGGCTTTGGAGAAAGGAGTGGGCTTATGTGTCCGTGGACCTTGAACCTCCCTATGTCAGGAGGTGTCCTTCGAGCCTGACAAAGAGCATGGGGAGGCCTGAGTGCAGGCACAGCCCAGCGTAGCAGGAGCACTCCAGAGGAGCAGCGGGGCAGGGCCTGGGAGTGGGGCGGACTGCGCACGGAGCTCTGCTCCCCAGGTGATGCTGCAGCAGGGTGAGGCCATGCACTGCCCGCGCTGCCGGATCGTGGTGCAGAAGAAGGATGGCTGTGACTGGATCCGCTGCACTGTCTGCCACACTGAGATCTGCTGGGTCACCAAGGGCCCGCGCTGGGGCCCTGGGGTGAGTCCTTCAGGAGCAGAGGGCTGGGGTACGGGGCTTTACCACAGAGGTGTCTTGCAGCAGCTGGCACCAGGGGCTGGATCCAATCCCACTCTTGTATTTGTACAGCTCATGCAGTAGGAATTTGTTCACATTTTTTCCCCTGGTACTGGAGAACCCAGGGCCACCCGCTACCCTATCATGGAGCTACATCTACAGCCCTTTTTATTTCTGGGACTGGGTCTCAGTAAGCTGTCCAGGGTGGCCTACAGTATGTAATCTTCCTGCTTCAGCCTCCTGAGTAGCTGGGGTTATTCTCTATGCCACCATACCAGGCTCTGTTTACATCTTTAAATGGTTTGAGAAATACCAAAAGGCCAGGGATAATAGCTCAGTGGCAGGGCCTTCCCTGGCATGCATGAAGTCCTGAGTTCATCCCTAGCATTGCAACACAGAGACCGTAGTATTTCAGGGCAAGTGAGTGTAATGTGGATCCACAGATCCGGTTGTGTCAGCACTGTGTGCTTGCACCTCCTGGGCCTGGCTGCACGCTAGGCCTGCTCGGGAGCAAGGACAGCCACAAAGCTCAGTCTGGGTTGCAGGTGGAGCCAGGCCTGGCTCAGGACACACTGATCACCTGAGAGGCTCAGTTTTTTTCCTCTGAGATGGGCCTGACAGCAGTGCCAAGTAGGAACGTGCAGAAGCACACCTCAGAGGGCCTCTGTGTGGTGAGCGCTCCCGGAAGGCTGCTGTCCATCTGGGCTGTGTTCCCAGAGCCAGGGGCTCATTTCACAGGCAGGCAGACTTGGAGACAGATGGGGGAGCAGAACGCTTCACAGGGCCTCTCCTCCCTTGCTCAGGCCTGGAGTTGCAGGAGCCAAGAGATCTTCCTGAAGGCAAGGAGGGAGACCACAGCCCAGAGTGGCAGCTTGTGCTTAGTGACAGAGTGACATGGGTGATAAGACCTCATCAGCCTGATGCCCTTTTCTCTTCCTTCCTTCCTCTAGGGCCCAGGGGACACCAGTGGGGGCTGCCGCTGTCGAGTGAATGGAATTCCTTGCCACCCAAGCTGTCAAAACTGCCACTGAGCTGAAGATGGCTGGGTCCCCACACAGACCCTCATTCATAGGCAGGAATAGGCAGGGCTGGGTATAGGGCACTGGCTGTGGTTTTTGGCTTATGTGACATCCCTGTGATTGGCTGAGGCTAGGTGTCCTGCCCTGTGCAGCTGCTGCCTGTGCCTTTCCAGGGGCTGCTGGCCAGACCTTCCTTCTTTGTGGCTCTGACCTCTGTCAGACTCCACCCTTAAACACAGCCCTGGCCAGGGCCATGCTGGCCCGAGCCTCTGCTGGTACCTGAGCCTCACCACTCCCCCAGCTGGCGTCAGGTGATCTCCATGTCCTGGGCGCCTCTTATTGCTGTGGAGATGCAGAGGGAGGAAGACTGGGTGTGAGAGCGCACAGCCCAATGGGCCTGAGGATGTGTCCCATCTCATCTGTATAAGCACATTAAAATGGTTTTCCAGGAAGGGCTGCATGTGATAACCTTGAGAGCATGTGAATGTCATGGGCTGGGAACACACACAGGCAGGTACTGAACTCTGAAACAGCATCAGGAAGATGATCTGTTGGCCCTGAGGCCACTGTGCCAGCTCCCTGCACACACACACACTCCCCTGTGTGTGGCAGCATCAGGGGCACCTGACAGGCCTTCTGGGCTCAGTAGACAGTTACAACTTCAGTAGGACTGGTCAGAAAGTCTGGCTGTCGGGTCAGCCAGGTAGCTCAGGGATTAAAGAGCCTGCTTAGGGAGATGTAGGGAGTAGGGTTCAATACCCAGCGTGCTGTGCCCCCCCCCCCAGGGTATGCTGAGATGGTGATTGATACTGGGCATGGTGGTGTGCACCTGTAATCCCAGCGCTTGGGAGGCTGAAAACAGGAGGATCACTACAAGTCTGATCTGTGTAGTGAGACCCTGTACTAAATACATTAAAAAAAAAAAAAGCCTGGCTCTTGTCTTTGACCTCTCAGTGAGTACCAGGTGCAAGAATAATTCAGGAATAGATGAAGTTGCTGTGATTGAGGCATGAAGTAGATCCTAGTTTTGCAGGATGGCAAGGGACCTGTACCCACTGTGCTGGTCAGGAGACTGAAGCAGCACATGTCCGGAAAGCCTGTGTAGGCCTCATGGCCACAGCCCGCCCCACCCCCTGCTGAGACCTGGCACCTGCTGCCAGTGATCATGACAGTAGAGGTGCCTTTAGGCTCTAGATGCCAGGTTGTGTGGTATCAGGGACAAGCAGGCCCATTCCAGGCCCTGGGAAGGCACTGCCATCGACTAGATGCCAAGACTCAGAAGCTGACCCCAGGCACTGTGGGCACAGAGAGCAGAGGTATGAGTGAATGCCTTTGTTGCCAGCATTGGCACAAGTGTCCTGCCACTGTTGGTGTGCCATGCCTCTCCACAGATGACCCCTGGCCTCCTGGGCTTTGCTGTCCCCATAGCTCTACTTTGCTCAGCTATTTTTACACTGCCTGTGTTGCCCTCAGGCTTGTGCATCATGTGGGGTTTTATGGTACCACTGGGCATCTAGTATTCAACTCCAAAGCTACCTGGAGGGAGCAGCAGTCCATGTAAAGAGGGCTTAGTTCCAAAGGCTATTGTCTTTCAGATTGCAGCCATGGGTAGGTACTCAGGAAGCTCACATTTGGCCTAGCCAAGAACAGATGCAGGGGCTCCCAGTTCACTGGCTCAGGCTATCATTTCCTGGGATGACTAGGACTCAGGAGAACCCTGGAGTCAGGCTTCCTACAGTATGGGCTCAGTGGTGAAAAGGTGCCAGCCTCCATACCCTGTGAACCCTGTTCCACAAGCTCGGGGGCCTCTCCCACATTCTCCACCCTCAGGGCCCCCCACCCCAGGGATCAGCTGGTCTTTCTGATAACCAGTCAGTTCTGTCCAGAGGTTACTTAGGGGTCCCACAGCAAGTCACCTCACTACGAATGGAGGTGGGATCAGAGGGATCATTAAAAAGATAATTCCTGTTACTTTCTACTTGTTTTTTCAAGTGTTTTACAAATCCTGTGTCAAGAATTTGGGATATCCCTGGTCCTGAAAAAAAAAATTGGGGATAAAGATTAAGCTTCCTTGTATACCCCACGCCTGTTTTGTTCTTTGGTCATCAAACTTCTACTCGGGACATTATTTACAGGCAGCTGCCAACTCCAATGACACTGTCCCAAACTTGCCAAATTGTTCTTCAGTGTGTCCTCTGGCAGCTGCAGGAGGCAGGGGGTCCCTGAAGCACTCAGTATGCGGTTTCTCATCAACTGCGCTTCTGATGGTGGAACCCAAGGAACCAAGTTGTGGGGGCTCTGCTCCGGCCTCCCCTCTCTGGACCAGGAAAACATCACCCCAGACATGCTTCCTGCCTCAGCAGGGACCTCTGAAGGAGAGGTGACAGGCACACAGCACTGGTATTTTCCTGCCCACAGTAGACAGTCATGAGGGTGCTGGAAAGCAGGGCAAGCACAGCTCTCGGCACTGCTCTATGCAGGGAAACCTAAGGAGGAAGCACTGCATTTAGAGTGAGCTCAGCTTTTTCTTTTTGTTTGTATCAAACTCACGATCTTGTGCCTGCCAGGCAGGTGCTTATGCCACTGAGCTATATCCCAGTCTGCAGACTCAGATTTGAGTTTTAAAATGACAACAAACCTTGGAGCCAAGGGCAGATGAGTCCTGCACACTTGTGCCTGATAGTTGTGGCAGTGCTCATGGGAGCTGGTGTAGACTGCACTGCCTGCAGCAGACACAGAAGTCCGCAGGTCATGCTCAGGTCTCCTGGGTAAGGGCGAGAGTCTGGGGGGCCTTGAGGAGCATCAGGATGGAGGTCGCATGCCCGAGACCAGTAAGCAGGGGGCACAGACAGAACCACATGAGATCTGTAACCATGTATGGCTGTTTATTTCATACAGGGCTCTGTACAAAATATTTACACATATTCTTTACAGAATAAGTAAATCACCTGAAGGTAAATAGATGCTTCTCAGTGGCAGAGAATCCTGGTGTGAGCAAAGCTACCACATGAATTTTCTCCTTGGGCTATAGCACCTCCCTCCCCATGATTCCTTCCGATTTACCAGCAGGCTTGAGTGCTTATGGCCTGAGGAGCAGATGCTGTGTCCTCTGTAGAGAAACTGGGCCAAACTTGCGGGAGGACAAGACTGGGCACACCTGCCACTGTCATCTCTGGATCCTGGTGCGACGTACTGCTGTGCTGATGAATCTCCCCTTAGATGGGGCTCCTGTGTGGTGATGGCCATGGTGAGCTTGTCTGGGTTCAAAGTGTTTACTGTAGCATGCAGACACCTCTGCTGAGCAGCCTGGCCACCCACCCTGCACACGCACACTCGGGTGCGGGAAGGCGGCTTCCAGCTTGTCCACTTGGATAAGCTGCCCAAGAGAAGAGAAGCAAACCACCAGAACAATGACAGTACGTGGCTGCTTTGTACTACACACTCCAATTCTTTAAAGCAGCAAAAGGCACTTTCTATTTTCAAGCCAAAGTGAACATAAAACCAACCTGGCTTTGCTTACAGGAAAGCTTTTCCAGATCTGAGACTTGCTCTTGCTCCCAAGGCCTGCAGGTCCTTGGAGGAGTCTGGGGAAGACCAGCTGTTGGTGGCTGCCACCCCACTCCTCAGGGCCAGTCAGTTTCCCCTGACATTTCCATCGAGGTGGAGAGACCAGCCGTTGAGGACCAATCAAACCAAGATAACGTAAGGTAGAGTGGGCCTAGCTGGGAGGAGAAGGAAGATTTGTGATAAACAGGAAACAAGGAAAGGTGCTTAGGAGGTGGGTACTTTGGAAGTGTTGGTCTGTTTACAAACAGCATCTCTGGCAAACGAGAAATGTTACAGAAGCATAAATGCTTAGAAGCATCTTTCTGATGAGGACCATTTCTTTCCATGAAGGAACTTGGTAAAGTGAAACTATCTTATATATTAGGTGTGTATAATTCTAAAAATAGTAATAAAAGTGTCTTCTATAAATGATCTCTTTTGTACAAGAGAATGGGGTAGGCGGTAGAAGGCAGGGAAACCAGTTTAGGAATATTTCTTCCTGCTGCACTGGAAATGCCTGGTACAGAAATGTGGTTTCTAGGCAGAAGCTGGGTAGGACTTAACCAGTGACCTAGTTCGTCTGGTTTCTGGCCAGCAAAAAGAGATGCTCTTGAGAAGGCCCATCTGGCTCCCAGCTGGCGTCCTCTGCCCTCTCACTCTCACCTGAGGCCCGATCTCTTTAGCAGTGACCCCTTTCTTCCTGTGGCACCCCAAGTCTGGGCCCAGAGACTCCCAGCTAAAAGCCCACATCCTCCAGCAGGCAGGGAGCAGCACAGCAGAGCTCAGGTGTGTGGAGTGATGCGCCTGGCCCAGAGCCTGCAGCACCAGCTGGCTCTGCTGTGCCCTCAGCCACGGCCACACAGGCAGCAAAGGGTGGCAGAAACAGAACACCCTGACCTGGAGCCCTTTAATTCAAGGAAACGCCTCCCTCAGTCCTTCCACAGAAGGGCAGGCAAGGCCTGGATGCGCTGTGATAAGTGGCCCACGCTCAGGGGAACAGCTGGAGCGGGAACTTCGGGGCCCACTCCAGGGCGCTCTTCACCACCGCCAGCGCAGCTGCTCCAAGCGCCACTGTCAGCCCCATCACTGCCAGTTTCACAAAGCGGTTGGTCCTTGGTTTGGTCAGGACATCCTTTGTTCGAGCCTCAGGCCGCAGAAGTCCCCGAAACCGCTGCCGAAGCACCATGTCTGGCCTCTGCTGGGCTGATGCCAGCTCGAAGTCTTTGAAAGTAGAGGCCGCTGTCCTGGAGGGAGGAAGGCGGAAGTAGCATGGTGTGAGAGAAGAACAGGAGTGATGCCCCTGCTCAGGAGGCTGAAGGAGGGCTGTCCATGCTGAAGTACGCTTCTTCAAAAAACCCCGGGCTCTGAGGCCTCAGGCGCCAGGGCCAAGCCTGGTGCCCATCAGATGCGAGCCTCCCCAAATGCCACCTGCTCACACACCCTGCACCACTCACCTCTCAGCCTGCTGCTGAGCAGCTGCCTCTCGTGTGAGCTCAGAAGGGGGAAACTGAACAAAAAGGTCTCCTGCCCTGCTGATCAGAGTCTCATAGGGCAAGTCCTGAGGGATCTGGGACAAAAGGTGGTGGACTGAGGCCATGTCACAGTCACAGTCCAGGACTTCCTGCTCACGGTACAGCACGATCTGTGGGGAGGAAGACCTTGCGTCAGAGAGCAGACACAGATCGGTCTCTGGTGGGGGAGCATGAGGCAACCCAGATGTACAGCCAACTCGTATCCAGCCAGGGAGGAACACTGGGCTAACCTCTCCTGCTATGGGCAGACTGCCACCCTGATGTGAAAGGCACACTTGTCTGCTCAAGTGTCCTTCAAAGTCTTCAAAGTAATGAAGGAAATTCTTTTCGGAAGAAAAGGAGAACGATTCCTGGGAGATTCCCAGAGCTACAGTATAGCACAGTTCAAAACAGGAGATCAAGACTCTACTGGTACCTTTAAACATCGTCTAACTGCTAGCCACAAAGCCAGAGCTTGACAAGAGACCTGTGAAGAGACCTTCCTAAGTCCACAGCTCTGTGCTGCCAGGCCTTCTGATCACTGGCCCTTACCATGGCCACAGCCACCTCACTGTCCACGCGAGGCACTGATTTCCTTCCCTCAGTTTGCCAAGGGTATGCCGTGCACTGTGGCACTGGCGCCCTAACTGTGCGTTGCAGAGCTGTGCTGGGGGCATCAGCAGGAACACCACAGTGCACAATGGCACTTTAAGGTTTGGAAGGGCCTCACTGTGAAGAAATTTCTTTAAGCCAGGAATATGCTTGCAATCTCAGTACTATGGAGGCTGAGGCAGGAAGATCACCATGCTCCATGAGTTTGAGGGCAGCCTGGACTACATAGCAAGACTCTGTCTCAAACACAAATAAAATTAAAAAAAAAAAAAGAAAGGAAGGCAGGGAGGAAGGGAGGGAGGGAGGGAGCAAGCACCAGAGGGTGTGCACGCAAGCGTGTGAGCATGAGCACGGGCTGGGGAGATAGCTCAGTGGCATGACACTTGCTTGGCAAACAGGAGGTTCTGAGTTTGATTCTTGGTTAAAAATTAAAAAAAATTTTGTGTGTGTGTTTAGGGCAGGGTGTAAAGGGTGTACAGGGTCTCACTGCGTAGATCGGACTTGTAGTGATCCTCCTGTTTACCGCCTCCCAAGAGTGCTGGGATGACAGGTGTGCACCACTATGCCCAGTCTCAATTGCTGTCTCAGTGAGCCCTGGGGGCAGAGCTTGCATGGCAGGCCTGGGATTGAACTCCTGGCCCTTGCATCTGCCTAAGCAGATGCTTTAATCCGATGCGCTATCTGGCCGGCCCTAAAAATTTTTTTTTTTTTTTTTTGGTTTTGAAAATTTTTTTTTAAAAAGAGGTAAAAGAGTGCTGGGTGTGGTGGCACACACCTGTAATCCCAGCACTTGGAAGGCTGAAGCAGGAGGATCACTGTGAGTTTGAGGTCAGCCTGAGCTACAAAATAAGTTCAAGGGCAGCCTGAACTGGGAAGCCATCTCTCAAAAAAGAAAGAAAGAAAGAAAGAAAGAAAGAAAGAAAGAAAGAAAGAAAGAAAGAAAGAAAACAAAATGTTTAATGAGCATTTCCCAACATTTTTCCTTATAACATCCTCATTAACACTGCACACATGGTGCCAAGGGACACCAACCTTGGTGGTACCATCTTCTTCACGTTTGCACAACCACCAGGGTCCCTTTCAAGAAAAAAGCATGTTAGATGGTGAATCCAGTTGCTGGCTCATGGCCTATACTTACCACAGCTGCGAAATAAATGGGCATAAGTGGGTGACAGGCCAAGAAGAAGTCATATAACCGCACCACGTGCCTGAAGTCAGACAGGACATGCCCAAACCAGGTGATGAGCCAGCTGAGCGCAAAGATGGTTCCCACCTCAGCACTAGGAGTAAAAGAAACCTGGATGTTAGGCTCCTGGTCTAGATATTCCATCTTCTTCTTTGGGCATTTGGCCACAGCGCTGGTGAGAAAGAGGCATTTGGGAAACACACTTTCTAGACAATGTGGTCACCTACAAGTTAGCACCTTCTCACAAAATATAGTCTTTTTTTTTTTTGGTGGAACTGGGGATTGAACTCAGGCCTTTGTGTTTGCAAGGGAAGCGCTTATTCCACTGAGCCGTCTCCCCAGCCCCAAAATATCTTTTTTTTTTTTTTTTTAGAACCAGGGATTGAACTCAGGCCTTTGTGCTTTCCAGGGAAGCACTTATTCCATTGAGCCATCTCCCTGGCCTTCACAAAATATAGTCTTTAAGTGAAGTGTGGTAGTACAGGCCTGTAATCCCAGCACTCAGGAGACTGAGGCAGGAAGATCACCTTGAGTTTGAGGCTAGCTTGGGCTACAGAGTGAGTTTAAGATCAGTGTGTACTACAATGTAAGACCCTGTCTCAAGCCCTCCCCCAACAGAAGTCTTTAAAATGTGCCTGGACATTAATATTAGAACAATGTCCTGACTGCCTATTTTCTGTCTTTTTTTAAAAATGTATTTGGTACAGAGTTTCACTACCTAGATCAGACTCATAGTAGTTCTCCTGCTTTTAGCCTCCCAAGTGCTGGCATTACAGGTGCACGCCACCACACCCAGTCTCAATTGACATCTCAGTGCGCCCAGGGGGTGGGGCCAGCACAGCACGCTGGGGATCAAACCTGGGTCACTATGCTCTGCCTAAGCAGGCATTTTAGTCCACTGAGTTATCTGACCAGCCCTGGCTGCCTATTTTCTGATGCTCAACAGATGGCAACTGTGGGATAAGAGCTATTCTCAGAGCTGTTACTAGGGTGACTTTCTGAGACACCTCCTCTTGAGAGGGCACAGGCACATATTCTCTTGTGCATAAAATCTACAACTGTGTTAATTTTTCAATTAACATGATAGCTTAAGCTATCTTAAAAGTCAGTATTTAAATTTTTAAAATCTATGGCATGGGGCTGGGGAGATAGCTCAGCGGTCTAAGCGTCTGCCTGGCCAAGTGCAAGGATCTGGGTTCGATCCCCAGTACCACACATTTGTGCCCACTCTGTGCCTAGCTGGCCACCTAAACTACTTGTGGTGGCCCACGTCTGTAACTCCAGTGCTGGGGAGACAGACAGACAGAGGCTTTAAGTTTGAGCTGCAGAGTGAGACCCTGTACCAAATAAAGAAATAAAAGATTTTAAAAAATAATAAAATAAAATCTATGGCACATATTAAGAAATACTTCTCCTTGGGAAATAAAACCACACACAGGTGTCCTCATCCTTGACAGCCTTGTTCTTCTCTTCTCTCAATCCCTAGGACTCTCTGCATTTCTCTTGAGCCACAGCCTCAAAGTCTATGCTTGCAACCTTGTGTTCTCTACCTCTTCAGATGCAGAGTCTTCAAGGCACGAGCTGTATCATGTCTGCATCCCTAGTATGGCACAACACTCAAAAAGTGTTCCAAGATGGTGCAGAAAACTCGGTGACAAAGATCACAGGTGACTGGAAAGGATAAGTCAGGAGAACTTAAAACTGATCAGCATAAAGTGGTGAGGAAACCAAATGAGATCTGAGAGGAAGGAATGAGCTAGGAGGGAGTATGTGCATGTGTGCGTGTGTGCATGTATAAATATAAACCCCCACGTACCTCTGCATGAAATCATGGAGTTCTGGATTCACCTGGTCAATGATGGGCATCAGGTAGTTTAATATGTGCTTGGTGTTGTCCATTGTGGAATCCATGAAGTCCCTGGAGGGAGATAATTCAGTGAGCTTGGTCAGATCAAACGTTAGATGAAGGCTGGTTGAAGACTGGGCTCAAATCACTGAAGAAACTGACTAGAAGATTGGCCAAGTAGTTATCCTAAGGGGCAAGAGGAGTGATATCCACCCCGAGGCCCTCTATCCAGGTACCTGAGGTGGTGGGTAGATAACTTTTCTACCAAGGATGTTGCCAACTTCTCGCCTACCACCAGCAGAAAGGTGACCACAATGTCATGGTAGCCCTGGTAGTAGTGCAGCTGAGGGTTCCGCTCCAAGATGAAGAGGATGATATCGATGAGCTCTTCCTGGAGCCCTTCCCTCTGCTCATCTGGCATGCCTGGGAGAGGAAGTGGGAGATGCACTGGAACACAGCGACCACCCTCATGACAAAGAGGTTAGGAAGAAGGTCAACAATAGATTTTCTTACAAAATGTCCAAAGGAATGAGTCAGGAACAAACTGAAAAACTTATAAGATCCACATACTGCTAACATCTGGCACATAGCAAAGAGCCACAAGCCATCAACCTTACAACCTTAGGGGAACCTACACACACCCCTTTAACCAAGCCATCCAGTTCTTCCCACTGGCCACAGAACTGTGGGATACACCCACCTCCTAAGGTGAAATGCTGACTAGAGCTCTGCAGCACATCAGTGCAACTCCTATCAACAGTGTATAGGGGGTACAACCTGCTCGGGACCCCCTCCTGTGCCTCTCTCGGACAGAAGCTTTCTTTCTCTCAATAAACATATTCTGCTCATAACCTCCGTTTGTTCCTAAAATTCATTCTTCAGTTTTAGAGAACATGAACTTGTGCAGGTCAGGTCCAGAGATCATTTTTCCCTATGTCATTTGGAGGTTCCCTATATTGTTTGGAGGTCACCCACCCGAGATCAGTTTTTCTCCCTGTATCATTTTGGAAACCACCGAGATCATTGGACGGAGGTATAAGTTTGCTTTTCTTTCATAAATTCTGGACTGGGACTTGCTTAGGTAACAAATTTTTATGCTTCAAATGTTAATGTCTTTGCCCATTGCTCATAATTAATTGCTCATACTTTGTCTCATACAATTTTGTCTCATAACACTGTTAAAAACATTGTTTACAATTGCTTATGCTTTGTCTATATGTAGTTTTGTTAAAATATTGGTCAAAATGTTGTTGGTAAATCTAAGTTAAAATATGGAAATGTTACAAGCTTATGATATTTCTTTAATGGGACATTTTATGACTATTTGTATATGTTGCATTGGAACTAGATGCTAAATGTACTGGTATTCCTTGCTTGACTTTAGAAAACAGCGCTACAGAGTACTGTTAGTAAGCCTCCTAGTGGATTTTATATAAATCTCTGTAAAATGGGACTGTTAGCCAGCTCAGACTTACGAAATATACATGCCTGTATATAAAACATGGGACTCCTTTTGCCAGCTAAATAACATTAGGTCAGCAACCGTTCTTAAAGACTTGGAGGACAGGTTTCACTGGGATGGACTGGTTCTGATCCCCCTCTACATGCTAGAGGGAATGTCAGGCCTCGAATGTTTCAGTTTCCTTCCTTTGACTTTACTCCTAATTTTCCCACCTCTTTGTACTTTCCCTTTTAGAGGCATGTAAAATTAGGAAAACTTTTATAGACTGTTCCAACTAAGTGAAGCCCTTAGAAAATGAGTGTTTGTTAACGCTGAAGAGAGGGAAGTCATTTTAGAAAAAGGACACATATCTTATCTGTGGGTCAGATGAGACCAAGAGGACTATGCCTGTCCAGGAAGACACATATAAAAGCCATGTCCTGACTTAGTGTTCTAGGCAAGTCTCCTTCAGGAGGCTAAACATGAGACACAGTGGAGAGAGCCAACTTTTGGGTGACACCAGAAGGAGCTATCTCCTAAAGGAGCACACTTATGGGACCAAAACACATTTAGTGTAAGGGAGGATTCAATCTTTTCTCTTAGGTCTAATTATCATTTAGGTGCATAAGAGATAAGTTGTGGACTTTAAAAGCCTTTAATGTAGAGGGCCGGGGAGATGGCTCAGTGGAATAAGCGCTTCCCTGGCAAGTGCAAGGGCCTGAGTTCAATCCCTGGTTCTGCCAAAACAAAACAAAAAAAGCCTTTAATGTGAAGTGCTAGTAATCTTGCTCAGGCTTTTAACTATCCCTTATAGAACTTGGACAAACAGTGGTTACTATGCCAGCTAGTAAATGTTCTTAGAGCAGCTGCCACTCTTTGAAGCAGAGAACAGGTTTCCCCAGCCGTTCTCTGGTGAATCCCCATTGAAGGCTATGGCTGATGGAATGTTGACCAGAGAAACTGCTGCATTTTTTTCTGGAGACATCTCTGGTTGTGTGAACCAACAGAAACTGAGAATACCTGAGGGGTTATGGCCATATCCAAAGGTTCTTTGGTGGAAACTGGCTCTTGACCACTGAAAGATCTCCACTTACCTACTGTACCTTTTCTCTCTATGCTAGTAAAGTAGGAATTTTACCTGAGCTTTTCAGTAAACAAGTTAATGAGTCACTCTTTGAGAAATAAGGCTGAGACAGTTTACAATAGTGGTTATCAGGGAAGCTTACATCTGTGCCTTATGTGTTAACTAAGAGTAAGATTTTCTGCCAGCTGTACTGTCTTTACCAACATGTAAAACGTGATTGCTAGATGATAAATATAAATTTCACCTGTTAGCTTCAAGGTTAAAACTTGCTTAGTTGCTAAAAATATTTACCTAGGGGATTAGATGGAAAACAGGTGTCTGGAGACTTGACTCAGTGCACAGGGTCAAATCTCTCCAGTCAATTGTTCTATTTATCTCTAGAAGTGATCTTTGAAGCCTGAGAAGTGCTCACTTCCAACTGACCTTTATGCCATAGTTATGCTTCCTTTTGCAGACATTCTCATCACTGGACCAACTGTAACTGTTAACTTACAAGTAGTCAGTGAGAGTACAGGGTTTGTGACATATTCAGGAGATAAAAATCTACGCCAGTTCGAGGGTGGATAGGCTGGTGGGATCTTGTCTCCCTTCTCTCCAACAGGAGCATCCACCTGCTCTGGAGAGGGCTACTCAAGGGCTGCCTTGGGGCAGGGAATCAATTAGAAAAAAGGTGGGGACACCCAGAAAGGTAATTTCTATTGAATTCTAGGTTATCTCACAGTCAAAGTCTCTTACTCCTTTAGAGTGTGCTTCATTAGGCACCGGAAGATGTTTGATCCTTACATGTTAAAAAAGAGCCGTTTAAATGAAAAGAGGAAAGTATCAACTGTGATGCTATTTTATAACTAGGAAGATGATGTAAAAAGGAAAATAGTAAAAATGTTTGTCTTATGTTCAGATTTTGTTTGCATTAAAAAGGTCATTGTTATTTAAGTTTTAAAATATAGATGTGAGCAACATGAGAACCAGGCAGTTCAGCCTTGCCCACCATTGCTGAAAGTAAGGTTTCCCCTATTTGTCTAGAGGGTGTGGTCTTCTAAAACAGCTGTAATCCAGCCCTCTACAGGGCTACACCCACTCTTAGCTAAATCTATGCAAGCTTTTCAAGGACAATACCTTCTAAAAAAGGTAAAGAGGCAGTTTAGAACTTCCACAGTTCATGCGCCTTAGATTACCCTGATAAGTACACTGATGTCTTTAGACAATTTATTCAGACTTATGAACTAGGTTGAAAAGATGTAATGTTAATCTCAAACCAAACTTCGACTTCTATGGAAATACAGGTAGCATTACAAGCTGCTACTGCATTTGGAGAGGAATAGTATATTGTTAATTTTAAAGAGCCAACAGATAGACAACCAGTGGAACTTCCAGTTCCCACTGGAGTCCAAATAGTCAGATCCCTGGTGGCCTAATAGGGGGGCAGGAGACTGAAAAAGACATTTTCTTTCAAGTGTTGTATTCTTGTAGGTCTAAGAACTAAAACCAAGATTTCTAGTTATTTTAGATTTTAGACATTTACCAAGAGAAAGATGAATACTCCTCCGATTTCTTGTAATATTTAATAGAGGCACTGGTAAGACACACTTCCTGAGATGCTAGTTAAATAGAGGGACAGATTACTCTTACAGGTAAGTTCATTATGCAGTCAGCTCCAGATATTAGAAAAGAGCTACAAAAATAGCTTTTGCTACAGATGACTCATTTGATACTTTGTTAAAAACTGTTTAAGTGTCCTATAATTAGAACTGGGAGAAAACCAGGGAGAGAAAGCAGAGATAAAAAATGGCTGCCTTTGTTGCGATCTCAAAACAGACCCTACATCTGATTCTCTTGGCTCCAAAATGATCTCAACAACGAGGTTCACTTGCTACTGCTGTCAGAAGCCAGGCCACTGTAAGAGGCACTGCCTTAAGAAGCCTACAAGCCATGCCCTGACTGCCAAGGCAGCCAGCCACTAAAAGTAAGACAGCACTCTGAGGCGGAGGCCCGAGCTCAGACTCAGCTTCCCAGATGGTCCAGTAGGACTGAAGGGCCCTGGGCCTGCCTCTTTCCCCTGGCCACACTGTTATTTCTACCTGCCATCTGCATGGAGGAACCCTGAGTAATCATGACTAGAGGAAACCCAGCCTATTGCTGGACATTGGCACAGTTCTCTTCGTCCTTCTCCAGCCCTGACTTTCCTTCCAGTCATTGTACTGCAATAAAAAGACTTTAGAAGGGGCTGTGGAGATGGCTCAGTGGAATAAATGCTTCCCAGGCAAGCACAAGGGCCTGAGTTCAATCCCTGGTTCTGAAAAAAAAAAAAAAAAAAAAAAAGACTTTAGAAGACATCTTGCTTTAGCTATAACTGAGATATTGCAATATATTCAGGATGCTAACTAATCTTAATTATGCTGAGACTGATGTTTTACAAACAATAAATCTTGTTGTTCATGTACAAGATTTAAAAGGTATTTCATTGGTTTAATCTGACTAAATGCTGTGTATTTCGTAAGTGTATAAGTTCATCTGGTTGATTTCTGATATAACTCAGGCATTTCATGCTCATAGTTAATACACGTGTGAGGTCTCTTACCTAAAGCTAGGGAGACTTATAACAAACTGTCAGACTCCATGAATAAATGGGTCTAAGAGCTAGTGAGTTATGAATACTAGATCTCAAAGTTTATAAATGTACCTGTTAGCTCGAATGTTCGTACTTTGATTATATGTGCTCTAATTTCTCAGAAAATTTGTTCTTCCTAGAAGATACCAAAACCCAGGTAATCATACAGGTAAAACCTAAAACCAAAAAGTTGTATCTTGCTCAGTGAGCCTCAGATGTCTGACACAAGCTACAGAAGTTAGAAGGGTTTAAAGAAATAAATGTCTGAGTTGAGATAAAAAGTATACATA